GGCTGCTCCGCGTTTCGATCCGCGTGAAACGCTTCTCCCCGGCCCTCGCGCTCGTGCCGTGGCTGGAGGCGGAGGAGCGGCAGGAGGCCGGGATCATTTCGCTGCCAAAGGTATCGACAGAAGCAAGTGGTTTCCAAGGTGCCCATCCCCTGCACCCCGCGCTCGTGTCTGACGGCGGCGGAGGGAAGAATGAAGAGGAGCTCGCCGCTTGCAAACATCATCCAACACGGGGTTTAATGGGGAACCTAGCGCAAAACCGGAGAGCAGGTTGTGCCGTGTGTGAAATAAGAGTTTGTTCAGAGAAAAACAGCAGCTTGTGGTGCTCAGGGACTGGAAGAGAGCAACCGGGTGGGCATGTGTGCGTGCGGCCCCTCTTTTAGTGGGACCCTGGAGTTGAAAGGACTTATGCTGGGCTTGGCCTTGAGACGGCAATGCAGGCTGGCCTTTATTTCCCCTCACCCATTTCTCCCAGGTGGCTGATGAAGCCCCAACACTTTCTAGCAGCTGCCCTCGGGTAGTTGTTGTCGGCACAGCCTTGCCTTCAAATCTGCTGGCTCTTTCCAGGACGTGGATGCAAGGGTTTAGGTTGCATGCCTCTGCTGGAGGGGTTGGTTGGAGACACGAGGGGAATTTGGAGGTGCCTTTTGGGCTTCGGGGTTTCTGTCCTCTACGTGTTGCCATCTGGGGAAGGGTTAAGCATAAGTGAATCTACCAACCCAAGTAACATGGATCAGTGGGGCACAGGGTGGTGAATTATTGCAGGCTGGAGATGCTTCATCTCTTGCATGCGTCTCCTAAGGTAGACCAGCGCGCAGCCCATCTGAAGAATCCCGCAGAATTGGAAAAGATGATTAAAAAGAGGATTCTCCTCTCCGTCCCGTCGCTTGGCTTGAGCACTACAGCATTGCACGGGGCGGGGTGGTGGGGACCTCGCCACTTCAGACTCCCTAACGTCCCGAGGTCGGTGGTGTCCGTCCAGCCTTCACCAGCACAAGGCTGAGGCTGCTGTTTGCAGTTCAGCTTGTCTGTCCTGCTCTCGTGGTCTCCCTGATCCGGAACATCTCTCGGAAGCAGGGTCGGGGCAAGGAGGGACCATCGCAGATCCTTCTGCCGCGCAGGGCCGTGCGCTGTGCTTTGAGGGGACACGTTTGCTCCCAGCCGAGCAGCTTTTCCCTCCCCACCCACCGCACAGCTGTTTCTAATGTCTGAGACATCAAAGCAATTGGACGAGTCAGATCGCTGCGTGTTTCTCTCCTGGGGGCTTCTTTTCATTTCCCATTCCAGAAGGCGAAGTCTTATCATTCCTCTCCACTTGTTCACAACGCATTGTCCAGCGCCGCGAGCCCCACATCCCCCTTCGTTCTCGCTGCAAGTGGAGGCTTGGAGGGGAAGGCTGAGGTCTGTGGGCATGGGGCTTCCTGCTTCTCCAGGGCACGAGACCAAGCTCCTGAATGTATGGAGGGCAGACCTCCATCCCCCCCCGCTGCATTTTAGCTGGTATTTCTCCTAGCAACATCTAAAGCAGGTTCAGGAATTGGGAATATTTCAACCCGTTTGATTTCAAAGTGACAGCAGTTCCCTCTCGGGCTGGCTTTTGCTCAGTTTTTATTCGGCTACACCATCCCCCATTGACGGAGCTAGTCTCCAGTGAGTTCTGCCGTCCTCGGAAGATAACCGCACTTCACATGACAGGCCCAGGCTTGATCCTCAGAGCATCGTCATAAAAATGAAGAGGTGGAAAATACCTGCCATTGCATCTAGTGTGCCCCTCAGCCAGTTATTTCCTGCAGTGTGCTTACTACTGCGTGGCCCAGACTGATTTTAAGTTTCTCGAGAAATGAGGCTACACCGTTTCCCTAAGAGACTGTAATCGTACCGTTGGCTGGGGCTGAACGGTTGTTGGTAGCAGAGCATCCAAGCAGGTTGCCCCGCTGCCCAGGTCGACTGCTAGCAAGTGGGGGAAAAAGCAAATGCTGAGAAATGTCAGACTTTGCTCATTTTCACTCCTGCGGCCGTTAGGAGACGAAGGCGCAATCTCCGTTCTCGACCCGAGCCACTTCTGTAAAATGCAGACGAGAACACGATAGCTGCTAGCGCAGGTAAGCAGACAGGCTTCGAGGACTGAAGCAGTGAGACTTTCCTCGGGCAACTGTAAATTGATTAATACTGGAACTTGTTTCTCTGAAAGCTGCAGGGAAGTAGGGTAATCCAATCTTGTCCGACCCCTTAATGCAATTAAATTGCTCTTCGTTAAGGCTTGGAGTCTGAGGACAGAACATGATCACCGGATAATGGTCTCCTGCTGGTGCTTTGAGGCTCAGGCTATGCCGAGACATTTACTTTCATAGCTGGTCTTGTGACCGCGCTCAGCCCCAGGCTCCGGTCCTAGTATCTCACTCGAGGATTGCTTGCGCGACAGGTGCCCTGCATGCTGAGTAGATTAGACAGCAGCTCTGCATTTGCTTCAGCCAACCAGGAGCAGTCTTCTTCAGAAGAATATTAAGTGGGGTGGTTTTTTTTTTAATTGCAAGATACTGCATTTTTCAGCCAAAATCTTATTTTATTAAATGTTTGTATGGATCATGGAGTCCTGGTCATTTGACCCCAGCAGTCTTTCCTGGAGCTGGACCCGACGCTCCCTGAGGTCTCTTCCAGCCTAACTCCCACGGATCTGTGAATCCAGCAGTTGAGCTGGACGGACCGATTGCAGGGATACTACAGTGAAGAGTACGCAGTAAAACCCTCCTGTCCGTGTCAGTGGGTCACACTGGGGGTACGCTGCTCTTGGGATCCTTGTCTCTCTGTAAATGTGAGCAGTACGTGCAATACAGCTACTAAAGCAAGTGGCATACAGGTTTTGTGTTGAGGCTCTGTGGACCATCGCGGGCAGAGTCTAGCACAGCGATCCTCAGCCAGGGTGCCTTGAGATGCTAACAAGGGTGCCATGGAGTACCACTCAGCAGCAGCACTGTGACGTGGGCAAGCATGATTCAGAAAGTAAACCCAGCGCTTTCCGACGGGAATCCCCGGTGCTAAAGCCATGCCGACCTGTTGTGCGCTTTCTGAGTTCTTTGCAGCTGAAACGCTATTATTTTTTCCTGTAGTCAAAAAATGAGTGAAAACACGACGAAGGGTGTTTGTGCCAGAAAGTTTGCTAAGAAGAGTTTTTCCAACTATTTGAGTTGGTCTAGTAAAATATATCGGATTTACCCAAAGAACCTTGTCTGCTTATGACCCTAGACCGGCACGGCTAGGACCTACACCCCTTAAACAGCGAAGAGCTGGCATTTTCCCAGGGGTGCCTTGGGATACTGCTGGTCTAGATAAGGGAAGAGACGGGTGATGGGGGTAGTCATTGCCAACGTGCTGCAAGCAGCTCAGCTTACACATATTGGCATCCAGAGCTGAGGCTTCCTGTTCCCCCGCATCACTGCAGCTGCAAGAAGCTGAGCTCTTTTGTTTGGTCTGTAATCAGCATTTTTGGACCGCAAAACGTAGGTGAGAGAGTGCCAGGCAGACTGCCGTAGCTGTAGCAAGGCACCAAGAGCCTGAGAAGGGTCACACGCTTGCAATAGTGGAGCTAGCCCACAAGCATGTCTTCGACTCCAGATTTTCTTGAGAGGAGAGGCCCTGTAGAGGCCCTTTGCTCCCTGGCCCTGCCCCGCGCCAGCGCACACTGTCTCAAGAAAGCTCCCACATGGTTGTCTTGGGGCTTGAGCTCGTGCCAGCATGTCACTTAAAGCCCTCAGATTACGCCACCCAGGACGAAAAGCAGCCGCTCTGCTAATTCCACCCTTTAGGGCACAGGAGCGGGGGGGGAGAACGGACCTCCAGGACTAAAGCTGTATCTGCATGAGACCATTTGTCTCGTAACATGTCCCCACTTTGCCACTGTCCCTGCGGTTCTGCTAGCATTAGCCAGCCCGGGAATGCTGCTGCGTGCGGCCACCGACTTCTCCATCGTGGCGCCTTCAACCCCAGCTCGGAGGTCGAGTTGCAGGCGCGTCGTCCACTGCCGCGTGGTGGGGTAACGGGTAGCCGAGCTTCTGCAGTGGGGTGTGTGTACAAGGGCCGTTCCTGATAGCAGAGGCACCCGTGCATTTATTTTATGCTGCTGCCGGTTAATAGGCGAGAGAGCGGCAGGAAACCGGCTGTCCTGCTGCCTGACCTTTGCCGGGCCACATGACAGCCTGTGCCTGAGGCTCCGTATGCTGTAGCTTTTGCAAAGCAGAATGCGATGCTCCGATGGAAGGTGCTGGGTCCGTGCAGGCTATGAGGATCCAGGCACGCGTTCGCGTAAATGTGCTACGTCTGTGAGGATCCTGGGACGCTGCTAGCGCGGGCTTTGACGCCGCGTTCGCACGTTCCCGTTCGGTGACCGAGCGCGTCGTTTATGTGGGGCTTGGAGAGCAGTTGCTGCTGCGATTCGGCAGGGCAGTGGCCCCTTTGCTGTTGCACTTTGCTAAGTGTTAACAGTCAGTTTGCACGTTCTCACTAAAGCGGGGCTCTGGTATATGATGTGGTCAGCCGTATCAGTGATACCAGCTCCTCCCCTCTGCACATTGGCAACCCCAGCGAGGCAGCCCTGTTGCAAGGCAAGAGGAAATGAAAGACCAAAAAGTGTTTTTCAGGGTGCCTGACTGGGAGTGGAGAATTTACGTCTCGGTTGCTGGAACAAAGTTACTACGCTCACCATATATTATACGCAGGGCGCATAAAATTCTTCCTCCTGACAGCGCCCCTGCCATGCTACTTTTTGCCGAGGGCATGTCTCGCTGTCTGGGAGGCGCTGCCCTGACTTGGGTGGCATGTGGAGCTAGGTTTGCTTGTCACACGCTGCCTAGCCTTTTGAAACCCACCACCTGGACCCCTCCTCTCTTCTGGGCTGAGTCTGGCAATGCCCCGGCTCTCCCCTCCCTGCCTGCCCAAAGCCTAGATCAGTATGTGCTCTGTGCCCGTCATTAGCGCCATTCAGCACTGGGTCTCGTTTCCCCCCGCAGAACATCGACATCACCAACTTCAGCAGCAGCTGGAGTGACGGGCTGGCCTTCTGCGCCCTGCTGCACACCTATCTGCCAGCGCACATCCCGTACCAGGAGCTCAATGGCCAGGACAAGGTAAGCTGTACTCTCCCTGGCAGCGGGAGCGCCGGCGGGGGGGGCCTTCCATTGTGCTGGCGCCCCCCAGCTCGGGTGTAAAAAGCCCGGCACTGCTGCAGGTGTAACCTAGAGGGATGGGCAACAAAACCGATAAAAGCAAAAGGAACCGAAGATGCACAAAGCAGATCAATGGGGGAGAAAGAAAGCGGAGGCCTGGAGCAGGGACAGAGTGGGTGGATGGTGGCCAAGAGATTGGGAGTCGCGAGGTTAGGGTCCAGCTTAGCAGGAGCTGAGCCCGTTCGGTGCTAAGTGCACATAGGAAGAGCAGTTCTAGCAAACGCTTGCACGTGCCTCCTGCTAGCCCAAGAATGCATGTGTGGAGGTGGTTTTCTTCCGGCTACTGATAATAACCCAGATGTCTCTGTGCCAGCCGTTCAGGGCCAAGCGTTTTTGCAACCCAAGTGTCATGTTTTGGGCCTCCTGACTTTCCAAAGCGTTTCAGTCTCAGTGTAAAAGGGAGTGTTTATTGTCAAGCTGGGATTTCAAGCATTCTTGCCCCGTTACTGGCCTGCTGCTCGGGGCCAGCTCCCCTCCCTGTGACGTGTGCTAGGGCACTGACTCACTGCGGAGGAGAGATCCATCGCTGGGACTATTTGCAAAACAGCTTTCAAAAGCTAAGCCGCTGTCACCCGGCGCGCTTTCTTACCATTTGTCTCAGACCCTTCAGATGTAAATGTGCTACTGATAGGCCGCGAGTAAAGGGAGCCCGGGTTTTCCTTGATGAGCAAATAGAGGGAAGAATATCACTTGTCCTGTGTGCTGGGGAGTTCTGAAACGTTAGATAACTCCTATCAAAAGCAAGCTTGCTCTCCACGTGACGACAAAGCCCCCCAGCGTCAGGATTTAGGGTCGAAGCTTATCGGAACCAGCTGATAACCAGCTTTTTGTTTTCCAAAGACCTTCCCCGCCCTTTGGACTGCAGGTTAAGAAAACTCTTGCTGGGAGAATATTTCAGGAGGGGGAAGCACATTGCAGCGGTTAGGTTTGCAGATGAGCTCGATGCTGGAGGGGGGAGGCGGGGTAGCAGGACGACTGCACCGTACCCTTTCACTAGGGAAGGAGCAAGGGGCTGAGGCTCAAGTGCGTAAAGCAAATCGAACCCTTTTCTGTCTGTGTACCCTGTCCATCGCCCCTGTGAAGCAGGCTGCTCTTGAAGTTCAGTGGTTAAATACAGATTCGAGCTTGGTCAGAAAAACCATGTATACCCATAGCATTATGGTGTTCCACGAACCGCTGAGAGCAGGCCTGTCACCTGCGACGAGCAGGCAAAGGAGCAGCACGAGCCGAGAGCTAGCGTTGTGGCTCCTGATGTAAAAGGAGCGAATAGCACGTTGACCAGGGCGAGAGGCCGGCCGGGCGTTGCCTGCATGAAGCCCCCAATACAGTCCACTCGAGCGTGACGGTTAGCAGCGTTTTGCCTGGCTAGTGAGATCCACAGACCACAGGCTGCAGCTGGAGAGCTACAAACATTACACGGGGAGGGGGGCAAGTTAACGCGAAAGTGGGAGGATCTTGTGGGTCTGCTGAGATGGAAAAACGACAGCTAAGAAAGCTGCAGGTGCTTCAAACCGGAGAACCTTACTCATTTTGGCCATTGCTGGAGGACATGCCTCAACCCACGGAAAGTCCTTTGGCTGAGTTAAGTGGCTGGGCCAGAAATGTAATTCTTCCCCGCCGCACACATGTTCTGCTTTATTAAAAAAAGCCCAGAAAACAAAACCCCCAGCATTACAAGCCAACCACAGGAAGTGGTTCTCGCTTTGACTTATCAGAAGCAGCTCAAAGCACGTACAGTTTCCAGACCAGCTCTGAACTTTCCACCAAGCAAAAAACAGAGAAAGGAAAGCAAAGCATTTGACCTTGGGACATAATGGATTGCATGCTGCAGGGATGGTTTTGTGAATGAAATCACTCATCGGCTGACTCGCCTTTAGTAAATCTCGTTGGATAGGAGACACACAACATGTTTGGGGTTGCTATAAAACAGTATCTGTACCTGAGAGCCCAGGTAAATCCAGGCACGTAGAAATCCATGCCATGATAATTAGCCTTAGAGGACTGCAGCTCCCCTGCGCCTGAGCTGTTTTGATGTGGAATAGGGCTCTGCTCAGGATCTGGGACCGCACCTGAGGTTGCCACAATTCAGGAGCGTCCTGAACTCAGTTGGGCCTCATTTCTAATAACATGGGTGTCTTCCTGCCCCACCTTTCCCAGAGGGATACAAAAATCATGTCTGTGAAGAGAGCTCTCTCCCGCTGTCTCCGAGCCTGTGCTCAGCAGCACCTTTGCTAAAGCGCCCTGGTGCTTTGCGAGTATTTCTCCCTGGAGGCAAGCAGCAAGGTGACAGCTCCGCCGTTCGAAGGGTACCTCTACACCCCTCGGTCCCGGTGGGGTCACGCTCTATAGACGCTACTAGGATAGCTTGGAAAAGCACTTGCGTCGGGCACTGCTCCCGTTGTCTGTCACCTGGCTCTTTGTCTCTCTAATAACTCCTCGCCTGAAGTCACCTGAAATCTCCTCCCTGGGGCATTGCAATGAATTCCACAGGAGCTCACTGAGGATGGTCAACTCGGGCCGAGCAGACCAGCTCCTCAGAGGCCAACAGCTCACGTGCTTGCGGACGTTTCTAATAATAACGAACGGGCAGGAAGACGCGCCCCAAGATGAGCTGTGGGCAGCATTCCCTCAAAACAGGCCGTTCTCCTGCCTTCACAGCTCTGCAAGGAAACGTGGCTGTAAAAGTACTGCCCGGGCTTCTGGCTGTGGGGCACTTGAGTCCGACGGTAGGTGCCAGGAGTTGTAGAGCTTCGTTGCTGTGGCGTGACTCGACTCTTGATTCAGGCTGTCTTGTCTGGTGGAAGACCTCAAGCCTAGCATGGCAGAGGCACTTGGTCCTTAGGCCCCATTCATCAAGCCAGCCTCAGGGCAGGCTTTGGTCGTCCTCCTGACAGTCTCTCTCGCTTTCTTTTCACAGAAGAGAAATCTGCTGCTGGCTTTTCAAGCTGCTGAAAGCGTGGGCATCAAACCCAGTCTGGTGAGTACCCAGGTTCTGGGCAGGGAAGAGATGCTGATCCTCCGATACAGCGCAGCCCGTTGACCTCCACTGAAAGCGTGCATATATTATTAAGGGGAAACTTTAGCCGTGAACCCAGGCTGCCAGCCCAGATTTCGGGGCAGTTCCCAGCTGGCGTGGCTGCCCAGCTGCAGATTGAAACCCCCAGGCATTGAGAGCTTCTAGCTGTAGTATAGACGGTCCCTGCTGTGACCTCCGCTGTGTGAGGGGCGCTGCCGGGCAGCCCACGTTCCAGCCTGCTGCGGTGCTGATTTAACAACCTGAAGGAAAATGCTAATGTTGAAGCTCGTGGTCTGAGATGCCGTGGGTAAAGCCTCGGGTGCGATGGCAGGTCAGGAACGAGGAGAATGACATGCAGAGAATAACCCTTTAGGGGGCCGTGATAAGGAGCTAGCAACGTACCTATGTGCCCAAGGGAGCGGGAGCTCAGGAAGGGCAATGGAGGAGGGGAGAGCGTTCTCCGCAGATGGATGAGTTCCTCGCAGGGCAGCGGATGCAATCCATTTAGTGCAGCTAGGCCAGCGTGTAGTCTTGGCAGGCGGGAGGTCAGGATACGTCTCTAATTGAAGTAGCTCTGGAACAGAATCAGGGCTTCTGCGCTGGCCGGCCACGTCTGCCTCGCCGCTGCCAGCTCTGGTGAGGCTGCAACTCCACCTTCGCGACACTGGGAAACGTTGAAAAAAGTCCCTAGTACAGTCCATGGTAAAGGGGGCTTTTGCTTAGCAGACCTCTGCCGTGAGGGAACGGGTGTACAAGGCATATAAATGGTCTTAATAAGGGTGACAGTTCTCCTTCAGGTCTTCCCTAGGGAAGGGAAACCTCCCGAGTGGTATCCGACCCTTCACGCTCTGCCAGCCGCTGTCTTGCGTCTGCGACGTTGAACACAGTCCCGCACCCGTGGTGCTGCTGCCTTTAGCAGGGCTACGCGCGAAACCAGGGGCTTCAGAAGCATTTGAAGAACTGGGCTCTTCATTTGTCTAAAGTACGTCCCAGCTGCCCCGTGCTCCTCTGGGCATTGCAGGTTGGCACTTGCGTATGTCAGCGAGTGAGAGGGCGTTCGACTGGTTTGCCTCTTCAGACTGCCCTGCCTTTCTTTGCCATGTGCCACTCCCCTGCATTGACTAAAAGGTGCTGGAGGTGCCAAGTGGCTGTTTCCCCTGGCTGAAAGAGAGAGCACTGCCTTCAGACACGTGCCGCACAGACCCAGCTTTCCCCATCCCTGCTCCCCTCTAGAGGCAATGTTTCAGATGGGAGGAAAGTGTTAAAAAGCCCAAAGGAAACACATGCAGGCAGAGCTTCCTGAGATGAGCCCTCTAGTAGTTTTTACTTAGCCTGGTAAGCGGTTAAGTGTATTAGCTAGAAGCCTGGTACGGAGAAAGGTCTAAATGCACGTTGGAGCAGGACACGAACGCACCCCAAAGCAGCTCAGGGAGTTGAGGGGAGCACGTGAGCAAGCAGCGCATCCAGGTGGGAACCTGCACTTGCTGCTTCTGTCTTTCTCCAAGCTCCTCAAGGTTGCTCGTAGGTTTTATCCTTTTAGAGAAAGTCCACGGCCTCGGGAACCTGTCTCTGTATTCATTGAGAAAGCGTGTGATGAATCAGCTTGCCCTGTGCAGCAAGAGGGCACGCTGCGCAACAGCAAGATTCCCTCGTTTCACAACTGGGTTTTGCTCCAATAAGGAACAACCCCACAGCGGGCCTCAGTTCTCTAGGGCAGGGAAAGCCTGGGGGTCTGGGACTCCAGAGCAGTGTGCCTGGCTGGCAGCCCTCGAGCTGCCCGCCAGGGTTATTCACCCCTGGCTGTCTGCGTGATGGAGTACAGCAGGGCTGCAGATCCTGGAAGCCCTTGGCTGACCGCGATGGTCGACTGACCTGGCAGGCTCAGGCCCCTGCATGGGCCGACCTGATTGCCTGTCATCGTTTCATAGTTTCATAGTTGGTCGGGTCGGAAGGGACCTGAGCAGATCATCAAGTCCGACCCCCTGCCCTGGCAGGAAAGAGTACTGGGGTCAAACGACCCCGGCAAGGTGTTCATCCAGCCTCCTCTTAGACCCCCGGGGTAGGAGCCAGCACCACTTCCCTTGGAAGTTGGTTCCACATCCTAGCCGCCCTGACTGTGAAGTGGCGCCTCCTGATATCTAGCCTGAATCTGCTCTCCGTCAACTTATGGCCGTTGTTCCTTGTTACCCCTGGTAGTGCTCGAGGGAACAGGGACTCCCCCAATGCCTGCTGGTCCCCCCTTGACTAGTTTGTAACAGGCCACTAGATCCCCCCCCCTCAGCCTTCTCTTGTGGAGGCCGAACAGGTTCAGGTCCCGTAGCCTCTCCTTGTAGG